GTGAGAGCTGCCTCTCTCTTCGCCGTCGACCTCATCAGTCCCTGCCGCCGTCGTCTGCATAGCCGTCAGCTTGGTCTTCTGGTTCGGTGAACCGGCGAGGACACGTCAACAGCGTCGGCACCGTGACCTTTGAGAAAGAGAGTCGTGAACTAGATCGGGTTTTCCGGTGAGGTTTTGCAACGGCGAGTTCGTGATGAGACATCGGTTCGAGATATTCATCGCGAGGCAATTCGAGGCCCAATTCAGTCGTCGGTGACGAGGTGAGCTTCGGCGAGATCGAGTTTTTAATGAGATCGAGTTTTTGGCGAGACCGAGCTTTTGACAGACGAGGTGGATCGAGGCAAGACGATTCGAGATTGAGGCGAGGTCTGAACAAATAAAAGCGGCTAGAAATCGAAAAAAGAACGACAGTTTGTGACCATGCGAGTCGACTCAATGAGTTGACTAGGACGAGTTGACTCTGTGAGCTGAGTTGGCCGAGTTGACTTAGTATAGATTTTTTTTTTTTAGTGACTCGATGATTTGATGATCCGGCAATCCAATTGAAGACTCTGCGATTCTTTGATTCGGTGGCTCAATGACTTGACTACTCAGCGACTCGATGATTCGGCGCCCAGTGGCTTGATGACTCGGCGATTCGATGATTTGACCCAGTGACTTGAGTGCTCGGCAGCACCATGACTTGAGTACTCGGGGGCACCGTGACTTGACTACTCAGCAACTCAATCGATAACAAGGCCGGGTTTGTTCCAGTAAAACTAACTCGGATCGTTGCTTTTTGGTGCAATGGAGAGGTGAATTGAACAGAATGGTTTCTGACTCTATGGACTCACAGCTTGACCGTTCGCGCGACATGGACAACATGGAGACTATTTCGGACTTAGATGATTCCGGAGAGATGGCGTTCGTTGATGGCGAGGTCTTCGCAACGCGAAGTACATCGTGGCCGAGAGAGACGCGACGAGCTTCGTGAAATTTTCTACTTGCAGTCTTGTCGGCGAAGCCAAGAAAGAACAAGAAGCAGCGGCGAGATCATGAACAACCCGAGAGAGAGGCGACCAGCGGCGGAATCGTGACCAGCTTGAGAGAGAAAGAGAGAGGAGACGACGACTGGGTGAGATGGCGATGGGATCGACACAGATGACAGCAACTAAGTGAGATTGAGTTTCCCGGCAAGGCGAAGCGGCAGCAGTGACTCAGACCAATGAGAAAAGATCGTGAGAGGAGAGAGGAGACATGCAACTAGGTGAGATCGAGCTTGGTGATTCCTCAAAATCCTAGCTATACACATCGTCGCTCTGTAAAACTTGGTAGTTTGATTCGTCGCTCTTGCAAAACTTGATAGTTTGCTTCGTTGATCTCGTCAGCGCAAGACTGGTCTCGTTATTCTGTCACCTTGTTAGCTTCATCGTGCAGTCGACTTCGTCGCGCTATTGCGCTATCAGTTTTGGCAGAGTCAAAAACTTTCTAGCCGTGGTGAAAATCGTGTGAGGTTAACTCGGTGTTATGGTAAAGCTGCGGGATCCGTCATGATAACGTTCCGCTGGTGCTGCAGCAATGAGGTGAAGCCTCGAGAGGCAAAATTCGACCACGGAGAGGTCAACTTGGCTCATTGTCATGAACAAGCATATCTCCTTGGTGATTCGCGAGGTACTCGTCGAGGCAGAGCCGCAAAAACAACAAAGTGAAAGTTGGTAGCAGCAAGTAGCGGTCAACGCGAGGTGGATTTGTTAAGGTGGAGCTTGCCAACGAGGTCATTTTGTAAAAGATACTACATTGCGAGGCGGACCTTGAGAGAGATGATCGAGGTGACGACGTAGATCCGAGATGTTGCGAATTCTTCTCTGAAAAAGTGAATCGACCCAAGTCTATGCGGGCTCATCGAGATGGTCAAAACTATTTCGTTGTAGAATCAGAGGAAAATAACACTAATCCGCATCAGCGTGAATTTTCTTGATTCAGCGAGGTCGTCAAAGTGGAGAATGCGAGGTCACGCGGTGACTTTGTGGAATTGATTCGATTTTGGCAAAGTAAAGTTTGATAACGAACGTGGTGGATGCTTTGGAAATCATCTCAGACTTAGATGATTGAGGAGACGATGTTCGCTGAGTGCTTCGTTCAAGAGTGTTGCAACCAACGATTTGTTTGTTGGGTTTTCTTATGATTATCGCGGTTTACAAACGAATCTGCATCGATACATATCCGCTCTGAGAATGAACACCGTAATGACCAACGATTGAGTTGTTGGCTTTTTAGAGATAAGTCGAATTACTCTTTGTGCTTACTGAGTCTGAGGCAATTGTGGCTTAAAGGCGAGTGCCAACGATAAGCCTATTCTAACTGTGTTGTTGTTGTGTCTTTATAAGACTGGCGATGTTGTTAAGTTAGAATGATGGTTGTCCTAGTTTGCGGGAAGGCCGCCGTTGACCGTTTTGCTCCCAAAGACGAACATGTTATGTTGTTGCGACCAACAATGGGTTAGCTGGGGTTGCTGATGATCTTCTTAGTTTACGGGCGAGTCTTCATTGACACACCCGCTCCAAGAGTGAACATGTTGTGTTGTTTGAGACCAGCAATGCGTTAGCTGGATTTTCTGATGATCATTTTGGTTTATAGGCAAGTCTTCATTAACGCGTCCGTTCCAAGAATGAACATGTTATTGTGTAAAGACCAATGATCTGTTTGTTGGATTTTCAGATGAATTTCTTGGTTTACGGGCGAGCCTCTATCTACGCGTCCGCTCCAAGAATAAACAGGTTATTGTGTAAATACCAACAATCTGTTTGTTGGGTTTTCTGATGATCATTTCGGTTTACGACCGTGTATTACATCGACACAGCCGCTCCTATAATAAACACGTTATCATGTAGAGACCAACGATTTGTTTGTTGGGTTTTTTGAATGAATATTTCGGTTTACGGGCGTGTATTACAACGACACGGCCGCACCAATAATGAACATTTTACGATGATACCAGCGAGATTTGCTGGGTTTTTAAGCAATCACTTTGGTTTACGACCATGTATCACAACGACACGACTGCTCCTATAGTGATTACCAATTTATATAGCGCGCTTAAGCCGTGGTGGGTGTAGAAGTCAGATCTGGATGATGAAATAAGTTCGTGATGGACGTAAATGAGATGCGAACGAGAAGTAAATAGATCTTTAATCTTTATTAGTCATAGCATTTGTTTTAG